TTTGGAAATGGCTTCTGACCACCTCCTTTTAACTTCTTCTCCCAATAGAGAAATATGTGTAAAGCCTTATCTACTTCAACAGTGGGAACTTCCTCTCCTGTCCCCATTTCCCACAAAACTCCTACTAGGAATCTGCTGGGAACCTGCCACCTCTCTGTGTTGTTAATGCTTCAAGGGGGACAAGGCTAGAAGTGCTTTTGATTTTCATTCAAAAGTAGGCAAAACAAAAATGTGAAGATAATGACAAAAGTGAACAAAACTTTCCACCAATATTATCATTTTAATACATTTTACAACATTTCAAGGAATGTTGTAATAACTCTAGAAACTATTCCACCATAGGTCATACTGGCTATACTGGGACCAGTATAGAGGGCACATAATTCCCATCATTGGTTTAAGTGGAGAACAGAATAGGGGAAAAAACACCGGGACTGTGGCGCAGCTGGCTGAGTGTCCGCTGCATTAAGATCACTTCTGACCGAAAGGTCATGAGTTTGAAGCTAGCCAGGGTCGGAGTGAGCTTCCAACCAATTGTGTAGCTTGTTGTCGACCTTTGCAACCCAAAAGACAGTTGCATCCGTCAAGTAGGAAAATTATGTACCACCTATGAGTGGGGAGGCTAATTTAACCAATTTACGAGGCCATAAAAAAGATTCCAGCAAAAGCATGCGGCGGGGAATGCGAAAGTACTTCATCAGTGTTGCAGATGGATGATGAAAGCGACAGCTCCCCTAGCAGCCAGAAAAGTGGAATGTTAAATAGCCTCTGACTGTCTGTCTATATGTGTTGTGTGTCTTTGGCATTGAACGTTTGCCATAAATGTGTACATTATAACCCACCCTGAGTCCCCTGTGGGGTGAGAAGGGTGGAATATAAATACTGTAGATAAATAAATAAATAAATAAATCTTTGCTTTTGCTCTGTTTCCTACTTTTGTGTTCTAGTCGCCAATGATTAACAAGGGGTTGTGTTTCATCACCCCAACACTTCTTGGGTTTTCATTTCCAGAATAAAAGACTGTGTAATTCTGACTCAAAATGTCTAATTCCTGATCAGTTTAGCTCACTCACCCCAAGTATTGCACTGTTACACATTCCATTTCTTGTTTTGCTTGAGCGAACTTCCCCTGAATCATGCTTCTTTTTTTCCATGTTCCTATTGTACAGCTTTGGACTTTCCTTTCGCCTCTGACCATGTCAGCAGCTGAGCATTCTTTCAGCTGGGGTCCAGTGATGCTGTTAGACAGCCCTACATAAATGCATATATTTCTCATAAAAGTTTTGGAATGTTTAATACATCTTCCCTTTCTATGAACAGAAATAAATTAAGCATAGGAAAGATCTTCTGAAGATGCCAGCCACAGATGCAGGTCAAACGTCAGGAGAAAATGTTGCTAGAACATGGCCATACAGTGAGTCTGGCCGTGAAAGCCTTTGACAATATGTGGGAAGGATTACGCCTAGATTAGAATGAATATAGGTTTAAAACTCAGTGAATTATTCTATGTATGCATATTTAGGAGGAAGCCCACCTGGAAAACTGTGTCCAGTTCTGGGTACCATAATTCAAGAAGGATATTGACAGGCTGGAATGTGTCCAGAAAAGGGTGACCAAAATGAGCAAAGGTTTGGAAACCAAGCCCTATGAGGAATTAGATATGTTTAGCTTGGAGTTTAGCTCGGTTCCGGCCCAGCTTACCTGTCCAAACGTATCGCCTTCTGTGAACCATTTCAGAGGTTAAGATCGTCTGGAGAGGCTCTTCTCTCAGTCCCACCCCCCTCGCAGGTGTGACTGGTGGGGATGAGAGACAGGGTCTTCTCAGTGGTGGCTCCTCAACTATGGAACTCCCTCCCCAACTAAATTAGATCAGTGCCCTCCCTCCTGACCTTCGGGAAAAAAAGTAAAACTTGGCTATGGGACCAAGCCTTTGGGCAGTAAGCAATACAAGGAATGATCAGGGATTATATGTAATTAATATTTGATACTTGGAATGGGCTTGGACCATAATTTCTGGATTATGTGATTGTAATGTTTATTTTTGATATGTTTTAACTCCACGTGTTAATGTTTAAATGTTGTTATGTTTTTTGATATATTTGATAGTTTTATGATATAAAGAGTGCTATTCAATAAATTTTGGACAAAAAGATATAGCCACCCTCAGTAAGGTTGCCACCTTAAAATGGCCGAGTCAATATAAACCTATCTTTCAAATTGCCAACTAAAAATGCAAATGCCAAAACATTTTAGGGGAGGTATTCACTTGAGCTAGATCTGATCAGCTTGATACAATGGTCAGATATGGGAGATTTAACAGCATCCCTTATAATGAACGGATTTGTATCTGCAAAGCACCTGAAATTCAGGATATAAACACATATTATTTGATTGTAAATTGTATCAGAAGGTGAGAGACTTCTATCTTGGTCCATACATCAAACGGACAATGTATTGGGAATCTCACATCAGAACAATATATTTTATGTGTGGCCAAGACCCAAAACAGAATATAAAACAGCTCTATATTTAAGCAAAACAATACATTTGAGAACCACATATGTGGGGCTGATCAGGATAAATTTTATTTTACTTATCATATCAGGAATGAACCAATGTATTCGAGAAAACATGAAGTTTAAAAACTTGGCATTCTATTAAATGTCCTTCGACCAGTAACTGGCCACTTGGAGTGCCTCTGGTGTTGCTATAAGAAGGACCTCCATTGTGCATGTGGCAGGGCTCAGGCTGCATTGGAGTAAGTGGGCTGTGGTTTGCTCTTCTCCACATTTGCACGTTGTGGACTTCACTTTGTAGCCTCATTTCTTAAGGTTGGCTCTGCATCTCGTGGTGCCAGAGCGCAGTCTGTTCAACACCTTCCAAGTTGCCTAGTCTTCTGTGTGCCCAGGAGGGAGTCTCTCATTTGGTATCAGCTATGGATTGAGACGCTGGATTTTAGCCTCCCAGTTTTGCTTGCTGAGATGTTTCTGTGAGTACTAGGCCTGGGCAACCACGGAAAAATTTGTTTCTAAAATCGATTCGTTTGTTGGGGTTTTTTGCGTTTCAATATTTAAAAGAATTCCGAAATTTTTCTTTAAAAAAGTTCGATATTTACGAAATTTCGTAAATGTAAAAAAAATATCACAAAACATTAACTAAACAATTTCGAAACAATAACGAATCGATTCGTTAATGGCGGACGCGACCGCGCAATACGCTAAAAAACCTCCAAATGGGACAGGGGGAACTTATGAAGCTTCCCTCTCCCTCTGTTGTTGACTGTTGGTGTGATATTATAATTTTTTTTCACTAATTAAACAAAAAACAACTATAAAACTTGCCCCAGACATGCGGAAATAATAACGAAACGACTTCAAACCGATAACGAAACGAATACATGTCTGTTTTGTTTGTGTGTATATATTTGTGGATATGTATATTTCTGTGGATATGTGCATACGTTGTAATGTAATGTATTATTTATTATTTTTGGCTTTTTAAGTCTCTTCTGCTGTGTTTTCCAGTGTTTTAATGAGTGATGGTCACTTGTTGGCCTGACAGGTGTATTATGTCCAATTTTGGTGTCAATTCATCCAATGGTTTTTGAGTTACGTTAATTCCATAAACGAACATTTCATTTATATAGACTAGCCGTCCCCTGCCACGCATTGCTGTGGCCCAGTCTGGTGATCTGGAAAATAATGTAATGAGAAAGTGTTGGTTTCTAATATATATAATTTCTTTATGATTGTGGGTAAACAGTATTTGATTAAGTTTTCTTGTCCTGGTGAAGGGAGTTGGACTGGATGGCCTTAAGTATTTTGTGTTGGTCATAGGGGTTCTGTGTGGGAAGTTTGCCCCAATTCTATCATTCGTGGGCTTCAGAATGCTCTTTGATTGTAGGTGAACTATAAATCCCAGTAACTACAACTCCCAAATGTCATAGTCCATTTTCCCCAAGCTCAATCTGTGTTCCTAGTTGGGCATATGGAATATTCGTGCCAAGTTTGGTCCAGATCCATCATTGTTTGAGTCCACAGTGCTCTCTGGGTGTAGGTGAACTACAAGTCCCAAACTCAAGATCAATGCCCACCAAACCCTTCCAGTATTTTCTGTTGGTCATGGGAGTCCTGTGTGCCACGTTTGGTTCAATTCCATCATTGGTGGAGTTCAGAATGCCCTTTGATTGTAGGTGAACTATAAATCCCAGCAACTACAAGGGGATCTTTCCAGCAAGGGGTGGAAATCAAGGGGTAAAGAGGTCCTCCAGTGAAAGATTCACCCCTATGGACCACTCAAATGACAAAATCATTTTTTTGAGTCATGGTCACTGGTTAGTAGGTGTCTTGTGGTCAAATTTGGCGGCGATTCGCCCAGTGATTTTTGAGTTAATCCCACAAACGAACATTACATTTTTATTTATATAGATTTATTTATACCCCGCTTTTTCTCTCAAAGCGGCTGCCAGAATCCCTCAGCATGGAGCCATAGCAGTCCATGTGCTATTAAACTGCACTGACTTTACAGCAGGCATGGGCCAACTTGGGCCCTCCAGGTGTTTTGGACTTCAACTCCCACCATCCAATGTTACTTTCAGTGCATCAAAGCCTCAATTTGAAGCATCTTTGGGCGCATCTACACTAGGCATGGGCCAACTTGGGCCCTCCAGGTGTTTGGATTTCAACTCCCATAACTCCTAACTGCCTCAGGCCCCTTCCTTTCCCCCCTCAGCCGAAAAGGAAAGGGCCTGAGGCTGTTAGGAATGGTGGGAGTTGGTCCAAAACACCTGGAGGGCCCAAGTTGGCCCATGCTTGCTTTACAGTGTGCCCTGAGCGTCCTCCTCCTCCTCTTTCGGTCGGCATTCCAGGACGCTGAGCTCACCTGGGCGCGGGGGCGGGCGGAGTTGGCGGTGACGCCACGAAGGTGCTGCTAAGCTCCTCCCCCTGGACTCTTCTCCTCCTCCCCCGCCCTCCCCTTGAGGTGCCACCGAAACTCCGGAGGCTCCGACCGCATAAGGAAGCGCTCTCTCCCGATTCGGACGCGGGACTCGTGCCTGGAGAATGGGGCGCCTCGGCCGGGCTTGGCTGGGCACCCTGGCCTTGGGGGCAGCGCTGGTGGCCGCTTCAGCAACAGGTGAGAAAGGGGGAAGCGACGTTCACCTTTCCCCAGGTGGGGTGGGGCAGGGAAGGGGCCGGGACTGGGGAAAATGGCGCTTTGCGGGTGGGAAACAGCACTCGGAATCCCCACCGGTGAGGGTTGCAGTCCATCAAGGGGATCTTTCCAGCAAGGGGTAAAGAGGTCCTCCAGTGAAAGATCCACCCCTATGGAGCATCCAGTGTCACTTTCAGTGCAGCAAAGCCTCAATTTGAAGCATCCTTGGGTGCATCTCCACTAGGTATGGGTAAACTTCTGCCCTCCAGATGTTTGGACTTCAACTCCCACCATTCCTAACAGCCTCAGGTCCTTTCCTTTTCCCCCTCAGCCGCTTAAGCGGCTGAGGGGGGAAAGGAAGGGGCCTGAGGCTGTTAGGAATGGTGGAAGTTGAAGTCCAAACACCTGGAGGGCCCAAGTTCGCCCATTGATCTACACTGTAGAATGAATGCAGACTGATCCTGCGCCATGGCTCAATGCTATGCAACCCCGGGATTTGTACTTTGGTGAGGCACCTGCCCTCTTTGCCAGAGAAAACTCAAGAGAAGACCTTGCCAAACTACAACTCCAAGGATTCCATAACATTGAGCCATGGCAATTCAATGTTGGTTTTTTTTTTTCATGTCAGGAGCAACTTGAGAAATTTCAAGTCACTTCTGGTGTGAGAGAATTGGCCGTCTGCAAGGTCATTGCCCAGGGAACACCCAGATGTTTTGATGTTCTACCATCCTTGTGGGAGGCTTCTCTCATGTCCCCACATTGGGTGCTAGAGCTGACAGAGGGAGCTCATCCACACTCTCCCCGGATTCAAACCTCCAACCTGTCGGTCTTCAATCTTGCTGGCAAAGGGGTTTTACCCATTGCATCACTGGGAGTTCCTTATATCCTAGGATCTATTACCAGATTATATTATCATTCCATAGACTCATATAATCCAGTTCAAAGCAGATAATGTAGGATCAGATCCTGGGATATAGGGCAGCGTAGATCCAGCCTAATTCACCATTTTTATAGTAAAGTGATGACACATCAAAACTCATACCTTGCAAAGGTATACATTACTACTAGATGCTAAGGGAATTCATTACCCAGTCAAGAAAATCCAGATTTCTTTTATACTTCAGAACATGTTTGAATTGCCCAAGAAACCATGATGAAACACTGTTTTAGTTTACATAGTAAACATGTACAAGAAAAGAAAAAGGAGATACTCAAGGAAGAGAGATGAAGAGAAGTGCTCTCCTCCCCTCCTTTTTATATTATCATAGGGCCCTTTCCCACAGGCCCTATATCTCAGGATCCGATCCCAGCTTTTCTGTTTATCCCAGATTATCTGGCAGTGTGGACTCATCCACACGCTCCACGGATTCGAACCTCCGACCTGTCGGTCTTCAGTCCTGCCGGCACAAGGGTTTAACACATTGCACTGAGGGCAATGTTGTGGTGAAACTCCATTAATACTACAGCGTAGATGCACCCCTTGGCTTCAAAACCTTGTAGTCCCCCCCCCCTCCCAAACTGTGGCATGGTTCTCAGTTCTTGTGGGTTTTTTCGGGCTATATGGCCATGTTCTAGAGGCATTTCTCCTGACGTTTCCTGTGGAATGGTTCTTCTTACCTTCTCAAATTTCTTCCTAATGTTTAGTCAAATGTTTCTCATTTGAATCCATTGGTTTCAACTCTGCACCTGGCTGCAAGATCTGAGCCCATGTTTACTCTGGGATTTGATAAGTTGAGTGGGACTTGCTCTCAAACCAAGGCGGTTTTTTCTTTTTCTTTATTTTTCATATAAGGAGCGACTTAAGAAACTGCAAGTTTTCTTCTGGTGTGAGACTTTGACTGCCCTGGCTCAATGCTATGCAATTGTGGGAGTTGTAATTTCACAAGGCCTTTAGCCTTCTCTGCCAAAGAATACAAGTGCCTCACCAAACTATCGCTTCCCGAGCCATTAAATTGGCACCAAACTGTGTTAATTCCACAGTCAGATGCACTCCAGGATTTTGTGTGTGTGTGTCAGGAATGACATGAGAAACTGCAAGTTGCTTCTGGTGTGAGAGAGTTGGCCGTCTGCAAGAACATTACCCAGGGGACGCCTGGATGTTTGATGTTTTTACCATATTGTGGGAGCCTTCTCTCATGTCTCCGCATGTGGAGCTAGAGCTGAGACAGGAGCTCATGCTGTTTTGTATAAGAGACAACCATTTTATTATGCCACTAGCCATCCCCTGCCACACGTTGTTGTGGCCCAGTCTGTGTATATGTGTTTTCTCTGTGTATATATGTGTATATGTGTGTGTGTATATTTGTGTATGCATGTGTGTTTGCATATATATGTATGTGTGTGGTTTTGCACATGCGTTGTAAGGTATTTTTTGGTTTTTGGCTTTTTAAGTCTTTTCTGCTGTGTTTTCCAGTGTTTTTATGAGTGATGGTCACTCGTTGGTCTGATAGGTGTATTATGTCCAAATTTGGTGTCAATTCGTACAGTGGTTTTTGAGTTATGTTAATCCCACAAATGAACATTACATTTTTATTTATATAGATTGTATATAAGGAGATGACAATCCACAGATTTGGTATTCAGCGGAAGCCTTGAAACCAAACCCCAGCAGACACCAAGGGCTCAATGTTACAATGTATAAACCACTGACACATTTCTCCTCCTTCATGACTGTAAATTTCTCCTCCTTCATGACTGGATATTTTGAGATATATAACACCAAACATGTAGAACTAGTCTGCTAGCTGGTGAGATCAAAAGAAACACACCCAACATGTGAAGCTTGTCAACTGTCTAAAAATAGGTGTTTAATTTGAGCCAATTTGTTATGGGACATAGAATCATAGTGCTGGAAGGCACCTCATATACCATTGAATTTAACTTCCGCTAAGTTCAGGATCTCCAGCAAGTAGTTGCCCTGTCTCTTTCAAAAGATGTTCCGAGAAAGTGACTCAACCACCTCTCTGGGCAATTGGTTTCGTTGCCAATCTAGTTTTAATACCACAAAGTTCCAAGAGGGTTGCTGTGAGTTTTCTAGGCTGTATGGCCATGTTCCAGAATAATTCTCTCCTGACATTTCGCCCACATCTATAGCAGGCATCCTCAGACAATACAGTCTGGAAAAACTCACAGCAACCCAGTGATTCCGGCCATGAAAGCCTTCTACAATACATTGAAGCTCCGAGACTCAATTGAAAGCTACCCTATATTATTTCAAGCCATTAGAATATTTTGTCTTCCTTTTTTCTTACACCATGAGAATCAAACTACTATGTTTTGGTGTATTTACTTCAATGATATCGTGCCACCCCGCCACAACTGGGACTCAATGTGGCTAAGCCACCTAAGTTGCAGATTTACAGAGTGCATGACTCAAAGGTTATAGAGTGTGTGACTCAGAGGTTGGAAGGATATGAATAACTTGGACCCCTTTTAATGTTTTCCAGATCAGTTCTGTGGTTGACTTATTCTGTGGATTAATCTTACAGACATGAGGTAGAATAAGAAAACTGACAGCTCTCATTATGGTAGATCTCACAATAGTAAAAAGGCAAAAATGTTCTTTGAAGTTCCATATTTGGAAAAGGGAAAGAGATAAATGTGTGCTTTAAAATGGAACTGGAAACAAATAAAGTTCAGGTTATTACTCCACAGGATCTCCCTACATCCCAGGATATGATCCCAGGTTTTCTGCTTTAAACTGGATTATATGAGTCCACACTGCCAGGTAATCTGGGATAAACAGAAAACCTGGGATCAGATCCTGGGATAAAGGGCCCGTGGGGAAGGACTTTACGATAATATAAGAAGGAGGGAAGGAGAGCACTTCTCTTCATCTCTCTCCTTTTTCTTTTCTTGTACATGTTTACTATGTAAACTAAAACAGTGTTTCATCATGGTTTCTTGGGCAATTCAAGCATGTTCTTAAGTATAAGAGAAATCTGGATTTTCTTGATTGGGTAATGAATTCCCTTAGCATCTAGTAGTAATGTATGCCTTTGCAAGGTATGAGTTTTTATGTGTCATCACTTTACTATAAAAATGGTGAATTGGGCTGGATCTACACTGCCCTATATCCCAGGATCCGATCCTTGATTATCTGCTTTGAACTGGATTATATGAATCTACAGTACATAATCTGGGATAATAATATAATCTGGTAACAGATCCTAGGATATAAGTTGCCCCTGGTGGTGCAGTGGGTTAAACTCTTGTGCTGGCAGGACTGAAGACCGACAGGTTGGAAGTTTGAATCCAGGGAGAGTGTGGATGAGCTCCCTCTGTCAGCTCTCCAGCTCCCTAGGTGGGGACATGAGAGAAGCCTCCTACAAGGATGGTAAAACGTCAAACATCTGGGCATCCCTAGGCAACATCCTTGCAGACAGCCAATTCTCTCACACCAGAAGTGTCTTGCAGTTTCTCAAGTTGCTCCTGACATGAAAAAGACAGTGTTCATCCAGCCTAAGTTCATCCAGCAGACGGCCAATTCTCTCACACCAGGAGTCACTCCTGACACGACCAAAATATATATATATAAAAAATCCAGCCTAAGTGTGATGAGCATATTATTTGCATGGGAGAGGACAATGAAAAATGCCTCACCTAATGATCAACCTATTTTGCATCAGCATAATGAGAGCTATGTTTTATGAGCCAGGTTTACAGTTCCCAATCCTATGTTTGTCTTACACTAATACAAGGGTGTGGTAGGAATGGAGATGGTTAGCAATTCACCAGCAGACAAAGACCTTTTCATTCAGAACAGATGTCAGGCACTAAGGTCGGGTTATTATGGAGAGTGTTATTGTCTCCTTTTACTGATTCATTCTTAAATTTTAAATCTATTATTTGTTGTAATTCTTTTTATTCAAGTTCTACTTTTGGCTAAGTGCCATTTTTGATAGGAGAGGGCAAACTATATTAGTAAAGGGGTTGCTTTAAATTTTCTGGGCTGTATGGCCATGTTCTAGAAGCATTCTCTCCTGACATTTCACCCACATCTGTGGCAGGCATCCTCAGGTTGTGAGGTCTGAGGATGCCTGCCATAGATGTGGGCGAATGGTCAGGGGAGAATGCTTCTGGAACATGGCCATAAAACCCAGAAAACACACAGCAGCCCAGTGATTCCAGCCATGAAAACCTTCAACAACATATATGTTAGTAAATATTTGGATTCCTAGTCTATGGCCCCACATTTTGAAGTAAAACTTGTCTGATCATCCCCTCAGTAATGTCAAACCCAAGCTGAATTATAGGATCAAGTGGTGGGGTATGCATGTGTGTACTTTATTTAATCCGCAAACCTGTAGCCTGACAATTTGGTTTATCTCCTTTTTTTAGTGACAAATGGGACTAGCAGAGGACCAGGAAGAAGTTTCATTGGTCATAAAACCAAAACAATCAACGCAACTACAGAAACATACACCGTGGATGAATTTGCAACTAAAATGCTTACTGGAAAACTCATGACAGTTTTCCTGCCACTGGTCTACATTGTCGTCTTTGTCATCGGTTTGCCAAGCAATGCCATGGCTCTGTGGGTTTTCTTTTTCAGGACCAAAAAGAAGCATCCTGCAGTGATTTATATGGCTAACCTGGCCCTGGCGGACCTCCTCTTTGTCATCTTGTCCCCTCTGAAGATTGCCTACCACGTTAATGGCAATAACTGGATCTACAGCAAAGCCCTATGCAAAGTCTTGGTTGGGTTCTTTTATGGGAACATGTACTGCTCCATTCTGTTTATGACTTGTCTCAGCGTTCAAAGATATTGGGTAATTGTGAACCCCATAGTACAGTCAAGAAAGAAATCAGAAATTGCCATCGCAGTTTCAGCTGCAATATGGGTACTAATCATGCTTGGCACCATTCCATTATATCTTGTGGACCAAACTGTTTATATTCCAAAGCTCAACATCACCACTTGTCACGATGTCCTGCCTCAAGCACAGCTAGCAAACGACATGTATAGCTACTTCCTCTCTCTTGCCATTGGAGTCTTCATGTTCCCAGCCATCCTCACTGCGGTTTCCTACATTCTCATGATAAAGACCCTGAATGCCTCAATTACAGATGTAAACATTGGGAAGAAGCGGAAGAGAGCCATCCGGCTAATCATTATCGTGCTTTCCATGTACTTGCTCTGCTTTTTTCCTAGTAATATCCTGCTGCTTGTGCACTATTCCCAGATCAAAACCCATGGCTTCAGTAACATCTATGCAGCGTACATCACTGCACTGTGTCTTTCGTCTCTCAACAGCTGCATCGATCCATTCATTTATTATTTTGTTTCCAAAGACTTTAGGGACAATCTTAAAAATGCTCTCCTGTGTCGAAGTGTGCGCACTACCAAGAGGATGCAAGTCTCCCTCTCTTCAAATAGATACCCAAGGAAAACCCCCTCTTACTCCTCCAGTTCAAACACAACTAGATCAACATATTAAATTTGCATGTGGATGCAGGGAAAACCTGGACTAGTATCAGAGAAGAGTGCTGTGTTTGTCTTTAAATGGGCTTCGTCATAATAGTTTATTCACAGAAGACCATCACGAACACTCCAAAAGCTCATAGTAGCACTACTCATAAGAGGAAAAACAAGAGGAAATTGCAAATGTGATGTAGTTCATAGAATCATAGAGTTAGGAGAGACCACATGGGCCATTCAGTCCAACCCCGTGTCCTTTGTTTTAAAACATACTTAAATAGAAAGGATTCTGTTTTGCAGAGCTGTTAGCTCATAGCAAAAAGGATTGCAAAATGGACCATGTGAATCCTTAAGGTCCCGGGTATTTCTACTAGTGTCCAGGTATGTTGACATAGAAGGGAAAAGAGGACATATGTAATACTTAAATGGCTTGAGTTTTGAAACACACACTCCTTGTTCATGCGACTCAATTCCTTTGTTACCAGACTGGAGGATGTCAGAAAGTGATTTCTGTTTGTCAGTCCTGTCAAACCAGAATCTATAAGGGCTCTGGAGTATTGTATTACTGATGTCCAAGTGACTATTTTTGCACTGATGCACATAAATGTATCTGTAATATACCATGTCTATGTATGTATGTATACACACACACACACACATCTTTATTTTAAATATGCTGTGAATATGCAATGTGACCAATATGTAGCCTTGATGTAGTCTATAATTATGTGCCTTTAAAAAGAATTGTACTTCCAATATTTTAAACTTTTTTATAAAGATGTTTAATATACTCCAGTTGCTTTGTGTTGTCATGTTACCAAATTGCAGTCGTTTCTTGCAAAGTAGAGGTAATGAAAACTGTTATTGTCTTCTGGTTTAAGGAATTATTAAGAATCTCAAGCCAGGTCTCTGATATTGATGGTAGTTATGACTTTCAACCTAGAAAAGGTTACTTAATATTGGAAATTCCATAACTTATTGGAAATAACTGCATCATAACCTTATTTAAAAGGTAAAAATGATGGCACATCTGTTTGGCAAATGTGAATTTCCATGAACATGTGGAGACCACCTTTTGAAAACCACTAGTTGAGAAAAGCATGACCTTGTTTGAAGTAAACTCTTTGAACAACTGATATTCATTAGCATTCATGTAATGGCACACAGGTAACTCAGCTGTTAAACTGAAGAACCATGTCTTTAAACTGCCAAGGATAAAGACATGCCACTATAAAAATATACATTTTGTTAGCAGAGGAAGGTTGTTTCTTTGAAGTGGAATTTGCAGTTGCAATTTCCCAAAAGATATACACTCCCTTGAAATCTCTTAGTTAAAATATGCACTCAGAGATAAAAACAAATTAAAAAGTTTCTTGTTTACTCATAAACAGCTCGTATTAATTCACCATACACGCACATTTCTTATTAGAATTCAGTTAGATAAGATGTACTTACTTCTCTGTGTTGAGCACACAGGGTATGATACTTAATCAATAGTCCATAGTCTTTAAGTATAGCTGTACTCACTGTAGTCCATAAGTCATACTTCTCTACTAAAGTCCAAACAGCAACATGCATTCACCTCCACTGAGGTCTGATGCAAAACACATTCACCTATAATGAGGTGGTAAGTAGACTGAACACAAAATGAAGTCCTGAGTCTGCACATGCTCAGTACAGTCACGTCTATAGCTCCTCCCACACCAAAGAGGTAAGTCAAACTGGCAAATCAACATATATATAGAAGACAAGTTAGCAAATATATACATTAACAAATAAATAGTGAAAGGCTTGGGAAGTTGCTATTTCCAAACTTAAATAGACTGCAGCTTCCACAATCCTACAGTTTTTGTGAGTTGGGAGATTCTGAAAATTGCTGTCCATAAAAATAGCTTTCCAAGCTCTGTTTTGTGTGAAGATAGCACTAAAAACAGCATGCATGTACAAAATTCCAGCTATTGCCATTTTTATCTTTTCGTAACACAAAGAAAACTGGCATTCTTTCCTGATATTATTTAGAAATAAGATGCACAACCTGCCTTTGTCTGGTTTTCATATCTGAGCAAATAAAAGATTGCAAGGTTAAAGGGCATAAAAAGGGCAGGTAATTCAAACGATGCAAGCAGGCTGATGCAATAAAACAATGAATCCTAAAAGGCTTTAAAGGTCAACTTTTATACAGTTTTCAAAGGATAACCATGTCAATCTGCTGAGAGAAAAATAACAAAGAAATGTGGAGCTTTAAAAGCGAACAGGCTTGTTATGAATTTTTATGGATTGTGTGTGCATGCATTCAAGTTGCTTGTTGGTTTATGGTGACCTCATGACTTTCACAGGGTTTTCTTAGGTGAGGAATGCTCCGAGGTGGTTTTGCCAGTTCCTTCCTCTGAAACATAGCCTGCCACATCTGGTACTCACTGGTAGTCTCCCGTCTGAGTATTAAGCAGAGCTGACCCTCCTTAGTTTCGAAGATCTGATGGGAGCTGGTGACTTTAGGGACTTTAGATTATTTTGTGGATCACAAACTATAAACTAGATAGACTATAATCTTAGATTGGAAATTGTGCAGCCTTCTGAATTTATAGGACTGAAACAGTCAGCATTCCTCATCACTGATTATATTGTTTAAGGCTTCTGGGACTTGCAATCCAACATCTGGAGAACCCGGGCGTAGTTATGTATTTATTAAAATCTCATGCAATGGCAAAAAAAAAAACCAGTAGGATTTTGGCCTGCATAAATAGGTATATAGTGCTAGATTGAGGGAAGTCATGCTAGCCCTCTATTCTGCCTTGGTCAGACCACACCTGAAATACTGTGTCCAGTTCTGGGCACCGCAATTGAAGGGAGATGTTGACAAGCTGGAATGTGTCCAGAGGAGGGCAACTAAAGTGATCTAAGGTCTGGACAACAAGCCCTTTGAGGAGTGGCTTAAAGAGCTGGGCATGTTTAACCTGTAGAAGAGAAGGCTGAGAAGAGACATGATGGCCATGTATAAATGTGTGAGGGGATATCATAGGGAAGAGGGAGCAAGCTTGTTTTCTGCTGCCCTGGAGACTAAGAGGCAGAACAGTGGCTTCAAACTATGTGAAAAGTGATTTCACCTCAACATTAGGAAGAACTTCCTAACTGTGAGAGCTGTTCGGCAGTGGAACTCTCTGCCCGAGAGTGCGGTGGAGGCACCTTCTTTGGGGGCTTTTAAACAGAGGCTGGATGGCCATCTATCAGGGGTGCTTTGAATGCAGTTTTCCTGCTTCTTGGCAAGGGGTTGGACTGGATGGCCCATGAGGTCTCTTCCAACTCCATGATTCTTAAGTTTTCACTGTGTAGACTCCAAGTGAAATTGTGTGCCATGGAAAACTAAAGGCTTCAATGAGCTGAAAGCAGCCATCTACAAAGGCAGCTGTATTGTGCAGTCCTGCCTGTTTTTTCCATCTTGATTGTTAAAGAGAATGGCTAATTTTTCAGTCTCTTAGTGCTGAGAGTAATTGGTTTTATCAGTCCTTCCTAATTGTAAGGATCTTCTAGTACAACTACCTACACTTGGAAAGGATATGTCTTCCTAAGTTACTATTTGAGGAAATTCTCTTATTTGGGAATTGTATTCAATGTGACTCAAAAAGTAACACAGAAATGTGTGAGTACCTCTTGACTTTTACATTCTGAAAGCAAACCACCTGGAATTTGAGAATGAGTTGTGCCTCCTTCCATTTGAAAACATGAGGAAAAGTATTTAGGGAGATAAGAAATTGTGTTCTTTATAAAATGCTTGTAACAAATCCAGCAGTGCTGTATACTTTAAACTTGGAAAGATAATATTTAGGGGCAGAATAGCCCAGAAGAACAAAGATTGAAAGTAAGTATTTACTAATGATGTTACTAGGAGCCCCCAGTGGCACAGTGGGTTAAACTGCTAAGGTGCTGAACTTGCTGATCGAAAGGTCACAGGTTCGAATCTGGGGAGCGGCATGAGCTCCTGCTGTTAGCCCTAGCTTCTGCCAACTCAGCAATTCGAAAACATGCAAATGTGAGTAGATCAATAGGTACCGCTCTGGTGGAAAGGTAATGGCGCTCTGTGCAGTCATGCTGGCCACACAACTTTGGAGGTGTCTACGGACAACGCCGACTCTTCGGCTTAGAAATGGAGATGAGCACCACCCTCCAGAGTTGGGCATGGCTGGATTTAATGTCAGGAGAAAACCTTTATGTTTAAGTTACTTTTATTTATTTCCTTTTCCCAGTAATAATGCCATCATTACATTACATCATGAATGCAATGCAACAGCAGGAAACTATTCCTTTGCCAATATGAACACAACTTTTAATTATTTTTATAGCTTTGGGTTGTGGCCTCGCTAAACAGTCTGCTATAGGTGCTGAAATGATGAAAAGGAAGGTGGAAAAGAGGTGTGTTTGGTATCACAGGAAACATTCAGAAAAGTTGCTGACAGAGGAAGAGATGGAGAAAAATATCTTGTTGGTTTTTCCTCTGTTCTTGGAAATTTTAAAAACACCCATATGACACTTCCCTTTTCATCAGACATCCAAAGGCAAGTCCCTTGGCAAACAAAACATTTTAATCCTACCTAGAAACTGAGTTCTGTTCCCCCAGGATAAATCACAATAAAAACGTTTTAAGCGGGAGAGGCCATTCTTTTGCTGGATGGGAGAAAAAAGCATTATTTTTTTCCATGGGAACAATGAGGTTTATTGAAACACTGCACAGCAGTAAAAGGTCTGCTCACTCAGATCTCCAGACCGAAACACAAAAGACTGGCTAATAGTCTAAAGCATTATGAAATCTGAGTATTTATTTGGCAAGTTGTCTATCCAGCTTCCTTCATCCACCCTCCGTTCTTTGATGGCTGATTTGTGTGGGTTGAATTTATTATTTGTTAGGACTTATTTTTCAGAAAGTCAAAACAGATAGAATCATAGTGTTGGAAGAGACCACATGGGCCATCTAGTCCAACCTCCTGCCATGCAGGAAAAACACAATCAAAGTACCCTTGACAGCCTCTATTTAAAAGCTTCCAAGGATGAAGTTTCCACCACGCTTGGATGCAGAGAGTTCCACTGTTGAACAGCTCATACGGTCAGGAAGTTCTTCCTAATGTTCAGGTGGAATCTCTTTTCCCGTAATTTGAACCCATTGCTCTGAATCCTAGTCTCCAGGACAACAGAAAACAAGCCTGCTCCCTCCTTCTTATGACACCCTTTCAGATATTTAAACATGGATATCATGTCTCCTCTCAACCTTCTCTTCTGCAGATCTTTAAGACACTCCTCATAGGGCAGGCATGTAGCTGGGGGAGGGGGGGCTTGGGGGGCTTTAGCCCCCCCCCCTCGAAATTCTCATGGTGGTCCACGAGAAGGCCTTACTGGTGCATTATTTAAACTGTTATGTTTATTCATATCACGATCTGATCACCATACTCAATATATCCCATATGCATGGGGGTATTGGGGTAATGATACAAAAGGTTTGCTAGGGTAGACCCTCTTTCACTCAGACTCAGCCCCCCCCCCCCCCCGAAACAAACTCAGCCCCTCCCGAATCAAAATCCTGGCTGCGGGCCTGTCATAGGGCATGGTCTCCTGACCTTTGATCATTTCAGTCACCCTCCTTAGGACATCTTTCAGCTTGTCAATGTCTCTCTTAAAGTGTGGTGCCCAGAACTGGTCACAGTATTCCAGGTGTAGTTTAACCAAAGAGAAATAGAGGGGCACCATGACTTTCCTTGATCTAGACCAGGCATGGGCAAACTGGCCATCCAGGTGTTTTGGACTTCAAC